GTTTGGTCTGATGATGAGTTGCTGAAAACAATTGTTTGCCATAAACTGACTTATAGGTATCCATTCCAATGAATGTCCCTTTGCCATGTCGCCGGCCCAAGAAAGTCAACTGCTGTGTAACCTCGTCGACAAGCAATGTGTTCAGGACACAGGCTTTGGGAATGTCGCCGATACTCTTACACCAAGTAGTCAGTCTGGTAACGTAGGTTTGATGCATCGAGTCAGTTACCCCTTGCTGCCGGCAATCCGACTTTTATAACGCCTGTTCGAATTCCTCCAAGGCATTTAATGTTGCCATTTAGTTTATGCTGGGTTCCTGAGGACCTTCGAGCCATAAATTTAACAGCCTACGCGTAACGCCTATGTAAAATAAATGCAGTGGATCTAGGATGAATGCAATTATCATTCATACATTATAAGCTAGAGGTGGTAGGGTACCAGTGCGATGGCAGTCATCTTCGCGGTGCACTACACTGACATAATGTGTTTTATGACCTTCCATAAATAGCATTCACACCCTCTATTAGCTTCATGAAAGCCCTAGCAGGATCGTAAAAATTAACAGCTGCTAGAGGGAACTCCAACTGCCTGTGGATTGCATCAAGACGCAGACGATGTCTACCCAAAGATACTAGATCATTAACCAATGGCCTACAAAACGAGTGGACATCTGACGGCTTATTATGGCCGCAATAAGCACCTACCACAAAGATATCAATAACAAAATGGTCCATAATTCGACCTAAAATTGGCCCGAATCCACGCTTAGTTTCCTTTTATATAGGTAGCCTGTGGGAGCCTGCCGCTGTTGCCTCATGCTTCCTGCATTTGTTTGCCACGAACTTGGCAACCGCAGTCAGTACGCTCCCTTCTTCTCGCCGCAGCAAGCCTTGCACAAACGCCAGCCAATCGATGACCGCCTATCCACCTGGTTGGCTGTAGCTTCACACTAAGCCACACAGCAAGCAAGGCGGACTCACTCGGCCTTCCGCCTCGGATCGAGATGGACGCGACGCTGCAGTGCTATCTCACGGTGCTGATGGTCGAACTCAACACCAGGCCGAGTCAACCACCTTTCTACTCTCTATTCTTCTACTTATTCTATACAGAATATAACCTTCTCCTACTCTGCTTCTCCAAGACTTCCCTATCATCTCCCAAGGAACCGGGCCTGGAAGATCACAGTCGTTAGGGTTAACCGGCGTAGCCTTAACAACAACTCCTTTGCGATAAGCCCATTAACAGCTAAGCAAGTCACTGTCTTAGTACCTCTAACAAGCATGGAATACTCAGTAACTGCTCAGTACAATGTTTCGGAAGTCCTAACTGGACGTACTCACCACTGCCCATCGCCTCAGTCTCCGCTGCGTGCTATGCCCCACCAACAAAGTTTGTGCATCCGAAAACACACACCTGTTAATCTTCAAATGACTATTAAAGTGAATAAGAGGCGTACGCGACGCTACTGCAGGCTCGGCTCCTTTTCAGTTAGAGACGAACTGAATGGTTCGCTTGCTCCACTATCGGACCTTACAGCACTAGGGCTCCAACGTGTTTCTTCGTCATCACACGTCGTCCGCAATTCCGATTCAGACACAGTGTACGAGCAGCTGAGACACCATGTCGGTGAAGATGTGTCAGACGCAGATATCTCCCCCAAATTCTCTGCAAGTTCGCTCAAGTCTTCGCAGCATTTGTTAGGGCAAGTATTATAGGCCTTATCTCCACCAGAAGGTAAGCAGTACTGCTCCAAAATAAGGCTGCCAAAACATCCTAGGCACCTTCCAAACTCTACTACGTGTTAAGGTTGGTTTTAGTGAAAAATCGACCCGAGTTAGCGAGGAACGCTTGTACCACTGCTTATCATTCGTCCTGCTTTAAATTAAGGAAGGGGTGGAAGGGAATATCGCGGAGGCGTTACGTCTAAGAAGGTTTAACCCTAACAGTTGCGATCTTCCAGGCCCAGTTCCTTAGGAGAGCAGAGAAGTATTTAGAAGGCCAGAGTTTTAGGAACAATAGATTGTATCAGTACCAGCATATTGAGGGATATTTACGTAAAACGCCTTTGAGTTCCCTATTTGTACATATGTGTAATAGTAGCAGAAAATTGTATCTCAGACTTTTGGCGAGGCCAGTTGTCCTGAGTC